CCTAAGACCCTTCCCCTTCCCTCCCTCTTCCCTCCCCCCTCCCCCTACCCTCTCCCTAAGACCCCTTCCCCCTTCCCCTCCCTCTTCCCTCCCCCTTTCCCTAAGACCCCCTTCCCTTCCCTCCCCCCTCTCCCTAAGCCCCCCTTCCCTTCCCTCCCCCCTCTCCCTAAGCCCCCTTCCCTTCCCTCCCCCCTCCCCCCATCTCCTTAAGCCCCCTACCCTTCCCCCTCCCCTCCCCCCCCTCCCCCTCCCTCGGCCTCCATACCTCGCGTTCTTCTCCTTCTTGTGAATCACGATCGACCGGCCCATGATCGAGGTCGACCCGAAAAGGTGCAGGTTGGAGTCGTTGTAGAAGTCCTTCTTCCAGGTGAGGCCCTCGAGCGTGCCGTACTTCCCCGCCAGGTCCCCGGCCTCGTAGAGATCGTCGGTGCCTTGGTCCGGAGGCGGAGAGTCGGAGGGCGTGATGTTCAGCGGGTTGTAGTGGCCGAGGGTGGTCGACGCCGCGCACGGAAACTGCAGCTCCTTCTCCACGGGGACCTGGGGATGGGATGGGGGGGAGGGGGGAGGGAGGGGAGAGAGGGAGGGAGGGAGGGGGGTTATTGCGTTGAAGTGAAACGGAAAGAGAGGAAGGAAAGAGAGATAGAGAGATACAAAGATAGATAGAGAGATAGAGAGATAAACAGATAGATAGATAGAGAGATAAACAGATAGATAGATACATAGAGAGAGAGAGAGAGAGATAAACAGATAGAGAGACAGAGAGATACACAGAGAGATAGAGAGATAAACAGATAGAGAGACAGAGAGATACACATATAGATAGAGATAGAGCGGACGGAGGAGAGGGAGGGAAAGATGGAGAAAATAAACGAAGGGAAAATAAATACACACATGCAACTGACAACACGTGCCAGTACTTTTTTCCCAAGAATTCCCAAGAATATAATTCAGATATACTGTAACTTTTTTTTTTTTTTTTTTTTTTTTACTCTGCATTTGGATAAAATTAACCTCGGTCACTCAGTATCATTAAGGCCAGCATTATCTTCTAAAATCATTACACGAAGTTTTATATCTGAGATGTATCATTTAAGAACTCCTTTAATTTACGGTGTATATTGTGGTATTAATCATAACATGATATTAATGATAATAATAACGGTTCGCGGAATTCTTATATATCCAACACCCCCTAAAAATGAATAGAAAAGAAAAAAAAGGGGAAAATAGTACACAGAATTCAGTAATGTTCAGATTTTTCTCTTTTGACGAAATGGAAAAGAAAATAGAAAAATAATACTGCGTAGAGAGAAAAATTAGCATCATATAATATCATAATATCCTGTATCTAAAGAGACTACGAAGGAAAAAAAAAAAAAAAAAAAAATTATGGTGCTGAAAACTCACTGTTTATCATTTAAAAAACGGAAGCACTCAATGAATTAAAAAAAGAAAGAAAAAAAAAGAAAAAAAAGAAAAAAAAGAAAGAAAGAAAAAATCTATCTATCTATCTATCTATCTATATATAAATATACACACTTAAATGCCTCCAGAACGCACCATATGGACGTGGTAACCCTTGGCGATCCCCTGCAAGCCTCGAAGGTCGACCTCGGTGTTGGTGATGTCGAACTCCGACTCCTGAATGAACTCGACCTTGCCCTCGACGTTGCCGGAGCCGCGCTGAGAGTACCACTTGCTCACCACGCCCTTGTGACGGAACTTACGGAAGATTCTGAAGAAGGGAGAAGGGAGAAGTGGAGAAAATGAGAATTGGGTGAACTGGAGGAGAAAAGATAAGAAAATGAGTTTAAGGACAAATAATAACAGATGCGTGAATTGGAGAAGGAGAAAAAGGATAAGGAAATAATTTTAAGAAGAGAAACAAGAAAGTAAAATAAATGGATCTGACTACCATGGAGATAATCACTAGCAACACTCCCCACTGTCCCCTTCCACCCTACCACTCCCCCCCTCTTCCCCACTCACTCCCTCCCCCACCACTCCCCACCCCTTTCCCTCCCTCACCCCCCCCCCCCACTCACCCGGCACAGGCCATCCTATCCCCTCGGTGCTTGGGCGCGTAGTCGTCGTGCAGGACGATGGAGTGGCCGAGGATGGACTTCGGGCCCGACAGCGGCAGGTTGGTGTCGGTGAAGAGCCTCTGCGTGGCGCCGACCTCCCGCACCGACCCGGCGATGTACAGGGAGCCGTGGCGCTTCTCCAGGTCGCCGACTTCGCAGCGTTCGGCGGTGTCGGCGTCGCAGTAGCGGTAGACTTTGTCGGCCAGGGAGATCTGCGGCGGGTGAGCGATGAGAGAGATAAGGGGGGGGCGATCTGCTTAGGCTAGTGGGTGAGTTCTTAATAGGAAATGGCAAGGGGGAGAGGGTAATATGGGTGAGGAATGATAACGATGTAATAACGAAGGATAAGTAAGTGTAAAATAAAGATAAGTGAGAGGATGAAAGGTACAACTGATATCTTGCAAAGATATGTAGTGAAGAGGCAAGGGTGTCAGGGGAGATGTTTCTAAATTTCGATAATGATCTTAATTAAGTGTGGTTCTATTTGCCTTTTCGGCGTCTTACCTTGTAAGGGTTGTAGTGGCCTCCGGCCGAGACGCATCGCATCGTCCAGTTGTAGAAGTCCCTCCCCGGGACGTGGTCGTGCACGTGCCAGCGGTGCTTGCCCGTGGAGTTCCTGCTGCCGTCCGAGTACACCAGGTAGCTGACGAAGACCGTGGTGTCGGCCAGGTAGTTGGCGGCCTCCTGCTCGAAGATGATCTCGCCCACCAGCGGGTAGCGGAAGGTGACCGCGGCGCGGATCTGCGGCTCCGTCGGCCGGATGTTGGCGCACAGCCAGCGCTCGCCCGAGTCGCGGTGCAGCAGCAGGCTGCGCGTCAGCACCGAGCGCGGCCCGAACAGCGGCAGGTTATGGTCCGTGACGGTGGCCTCGACCTCCTGCAGCCCCGTCAGCAGGCCGTGCTTGCCGCTCAGGTCTCCCAGCTCGTAGCGGTCGTGGCTGCCCAGACCCGGCTCGGGCGACGTGCTCGGGTCCACCTCGAACGGGTTGTAGTGGCCGCCCGTCTTGCCGCACGGGAAGTCCCCGGCGTGCTTGGGCGGGTACGACGGCAGCTCGTGCACGTGGAAGCCGCCCGCACGCCCCGCCAGCCCGCGCAGGTCCAGCGTCAGGTCCGTGGGCGAGAAGACCGACGTCTGCTCGAACCGCACCTCGCCCGTCACGCCCATCCCGTTGAAGATGGCGCGCGCCTTCTTGGGCTTCACCTCCCGCATCTTCGCGCACGCCCACAGGTGGTCGGGGTGCAGCGCGCCCATCACGGCGATGTACAGCTTCCTGGGGCCCGACAGGTCCGGCAGCACGAAGTCGGTGCTCGAGTACATCTTGCGGGAGAAGCGCGACCTGGAGACGGAGGACAGGTCAGTGGGGGGGGGGGGCGATCGCGCTCTCTCGGCCATTCTCCTTAGCCCCCTTCCCCTCTCCCTCTCCCTCTCTCTCTCTCCCTCTGTCTGTCTGTCTGTCTGTCTGTCTGTCTGTCTCTCTCTCTCTCTCTCTCTCTCTCTCTCTCTCTCTCTCTCTCTCTCTCTCTCTCTCTCTCTCTCTCTCTCTCTCCCTCCCTCCCTCCCTCCCTTTTGTGCTGTTTGGTGCAGCGGTAGCGATCTCGTCTAGCAATCTTGCTGACCTGCGTTCGAATCCCTCGCCGCCCCCCCCCCTCTCTCTCCCTCCCTCTTCCTCCCCCCCTCTCTCTCTCTGCCTCCCCTTTATCTCTCTATTTCTGTTCTCTCTCTTTCTTTTCCCCCATTCACCCCTTTTATCTCTTTCTCTTTCTCTTCCTTGTTCATTCCCTTTTCCCTATCCCCCTTCCCCTTTCTCTCACTCTTTTCCCTATTCATCCCTTTCGCTCTCTTTTTCTTATTTCTTTTTCTTTTTTCTCTCTCTCTTCCTTACTTACCCCCCCCCTTTCCTCCCCCTCTTCCCATACCCACCCTCTTCTTTCTTTCCTATTCACTCCTTTCTCTCTCTCTCTCTCTCTCTCTCTCTCTCCCTCCCTCCCTCCCACACTCTCTCTCTCCCTCTCTCCCTCCCTCACTTCCTCCCTCTCTCCCTGCCTCTCTCTCTCTCTCTCTCTCTTCCTCATTCATCCCCCCTTTCCTCCTCCCTCTTCCTATACCCACCTCCGAGTGCAGACGCGCAGTTCTCTCTCTCACCCTCTTCTTTCTTCCCTATTCACTCCTTTCTCTCTCTCCCGCACTCTCTCTCTCCCACTCCCTTCCTTTCTCCCTCTCTCCTTCCCTCCCTCCCTCTTTCTTCCTCTCTCTCTCTCTCTCTTCCTCATTTATCCCCCCTTTCTTCCTCCCTCTCGCCATACCCACCTCCGAGTGCCGACGCGCAGTTCTCTCTCTCTCTCTCTCTCTCTCTCTCTCTCTCTCTCTCTCTCTCTCTCTCTCTCTCTCTCTCTCCCTCTCTCTCTCCCTCCCTCCCTCTTCCTCTCTCTCTCTCTCTTCCTCATTTATCCCCCCTTTCCTCCTCCCTCTCCCTATACCCACCTCCGAGTGCCGACGCGCAGTTCTCTCTCTCTCTCTCTCTCTCTCTCCCTCCCTTTCTCCCTCTCTCCCTCCCTCCCTGCCTCTCTCCCTTTCTCTCTCTTCCTCATTTATCCCCCCTTTCCTCCTCCCTCTCGCCATACCCACCTCCGAGTGCCGACGCGCAGTTCTCCGAGTTCTCTTTCTCACTCTCTCTCTCTCCCTCCTTCCCTCTCTCTCTCCTTCCCTCCCTCCCTCCCTCTTTCTTCCTCTCTCTCTCTCTCTTCCTCATTTATCCCCCCTTTCCTCCTCCCTCTTCCTATACCCACCTCCGAGTGCCGACGCGCAGTTCTCCGAATGCGTGCGAGAGACTTCCCATGGGGCAGCCTTCGTCGTCGCAACCCTCGCGTCCGAGAGGGTCGTAGATGCGGCTCAGGAAGTTGCAGGACGACCTCTCCT